GTTAAAACATAAATTAACTGTGGTTTATCACATCTTTGGAAAGCTGAGTTCAATTTCTCTAGCCACACCCAGGCCTGATTACTGCCACACCTGTTCTCAATCAAGAAATCACTTAAATAGGACCTGCCTGACAAAGTGAGGTAGACCAAAATATCCTCAAAAGCTAGACATCATGCTGCGATCCAAAGAAATTCAGGAACAAATGAGAAACAAAGTAATTGAGATCTATCAGTCTGGAAAAGGTTACAAAGCCATTTCTAAAGCTTTGGGACTCCAGCGAACCACAGTGAGAGCCATTATCCACAAATGGCGAAAACATGGAACAGTGGTGAACCTTCCCAGGAGTGGCCGCCGACCAAAATTACCCCAAGAGCGCAGCGACGACTCATCCAAGAGGTCACAAAAGACCCCAGAACAACATCCAAAGAACTGCAGGCCTCACTTGCCTCAATTAAGGTCAGTGTTCATGACTCCACCATAAGAAAGAGACTGGGCAAAAATGGCCTGCATGGCAGAGTTCCAAGACGAAAACCACTGCTGAGCAAAAAGAACATAAAGGCTCGTCTCAGTTTTGCCAGAAAACATCTTGATGATCCCCAAGACTTTTGGGAAAATACTCTGTGGACTGACGAGACAAAAGTTGAACTTTTTGGAAGGTGTATGTCCCATTACATCTGGCGTGAAAGTAACATGGCATTTCAGAAAAGGAACATCATACCAACAGTAAAATATGGTGGTGGTAGTGTGATGTTTGGGGCTGTTTTGCTGCTTCAGGACCTGGAAGACTTGCTGTGGTAAATGGAACCATGAATTCTGCTGTCTACCAAAAAATCCTGAAGGAGAATGTCCGGCCATCTGTTCGTGACCTCAAGCTGAAGCGCACTTGGGTTCTGCAGCAGGACAATGATCCAAAACACACCAGCAAGTCCACCTCTGAATGGCTTAAGAAAAACAAAATGAAGACTTTGGAGTGGCCTAGTCAAAGTCCCGACCTGAATCCGATTGAGATGCTGTGGCATGACCTTAAAAAGGCGGTTCATGCTCGAAAACCCTCCAATGTGGCTGAATTACAACAATTCTGCAAAGATGAGTGGGCCAAAATTCCTCTACAGCACTGTAAAAGACTCATTGCCAGTTATCGCAAACTCTTGATTGCAGTTGTTGCTGCTAAGGGTGGCCCAACCAGTTATTAGGTTTAGGGGGCAATCACTTTTTCACACAGGGCCATGTAGGTTTGGATTTTTTTTCCCCTTAATAATAAAAACCTTCATTTAAAAACTGCATTTTGTGTTTACTTGTGTTATCTTTGTCTAATATTTAAATTTGTTTGATGATCTGAAACATTTAAGTGTGACAAACATGCAAAAAAATCAGGAAGGGGGCAAACACTTTTTCACACAACTGTACATCATCATGACTACGGCGTTTATGGACTCATAGGTTTCAACTGTTGCATTCCTGTTAATCTATAAAATATTATAAGAACAAACAGATGTCTGTAGGTATAATGATGGTGTTTTGTAAATGGTTTACATGTTATGTTTTTAACCCTTATTGGTTGAATTTTCTCTAATTAAATGCAGAAATGTGTCAAGTTTACCAATAAACTTATTTTGATGGACCCAAATTGGTCTTGTTTGTGGCTATAATCATTTGACAGAGGGTATGACTTTGTTTTTAAATGCCTCATTTATGTCTTTCATAATGTGGATCCCTGCGGATCACAATTAAAAAATAAAATAAAAAATAAATACAATAATAAGTGGTATGTAAAAAGCATGAATAATGTAAGTTATTGTTGGTAGTAAATATTATTTGAATTCTATGGCACCATGTGTATATTTCATGCTTTAATAAGAAAATGATAATGCACACTTCATTTGCATTTATATACAATCGCACTTGGTGGTCCTGAATATAACATTTACCTTGTTTTGGTTCCACTCCTTAATAACAGACCCCTGCAGTCAAGGAATATTAGTATATTACATAATTACTTTACCTCGGACCATTTCAAATCTCCACGTTTAAATGCAAAATTGTAACTCATAATTTACTGCATGCTTTAAGCAGCGGGTTTAGAGGTAGAGGGTGCTACACGTGTGTATTTACAGTATGAAAGCAACTCTTGTTTTGAAAGTCACGCTAAAGACGGAAATTACCTATGTTGACAAATATCCGGTTATTGTGTCCTGCCTTCAAAATAAAGGCGTTCATTTTTATGTATCGTTCTAAAGTACTTAAAAAGTGCAGATAAATAGGACGTTTCACAGTTTACGTTCCGCAACTTCTCATAAAAGACTGAAAACCAGCAATGTTTTATATCCGATTTCAACGACAGCTTAAGGATAACGGACACTTTCATAGACGAATAGTACCAAAGACAATTATTATTGTATATATATATTTTTTTTACAGTTATAGTCTTAGGGCATCTAGAACAGGCAATCAGTACAATTTCATATATATGTGTCCATTAACCAAATAAAAACAGTACAGTGAGCATGCTAGACTAAAATGAAACTATAAAATACAATCTAACCCTATTTGTATTTAAGCGTAAATGATAATATGAGGATACAATTGTCTAACCGCAAACTATGAACTTTAAAACCCACACCCTTGAATCAATAACTTCCAGAGACAGTGTCAACAAAAACTACATAATGTTTTAATTACGCAATATATGAGCTTCACGAAGATAACATTTACTGCAGGGACATTGCATTTAATTACATTAGATTGCTCAATTGTCAGTAAACTACATATTTGTAGATTACACATTTATTGTGAAGGAGAGGAGACGGATGTCCTGTCGTTGCTGCTGCAGGTTGAGCACAGGCGAGCCAAGATGGCAGAATACCTGGCGTCCATTTTTGGGACAGAGAAAGATAAGTAAGTAGTTAACGTTTATTTTGTTTATTGTTAAGCCATTGTGTTATATTTTTCTGCTTAGGTCCCCTTTGACCAGTAGCACCATATACAGCGGTGTTTTCAGTCTGTAGCAGTGAACGTTACACCGGCTCACGCGACCAACAGCTAAGCTAGTGCTAGCACTAGCGTGCTAGCACGCTAGCTAACGTTTGTAAAATACCGCGCTGCGACTGCTAGCGCCTTAACATCTGGGGGCTGAGCAGTGCTAGGATGGTCTGAAAAAACAACCATACAGGGTTACTTTTTCTGAATTAAAATGAATCACTCTACAAATTAAATACTATTTAAACTGATGCACTAACTACCATCTACCCTTGAGTTAGCTAACGGTAGTTAGCCACTTTATGAAGCCCATAGGAACCTTTTGTTTCAGTGGGATACACACTAGTAACGTTATTTAACTAAGCTTCTCACTCTGTTACTAAGCGAATTAAAGGGGAACTACCCCCATTTTTAGGAATTCATACATGTTAATCCTTTTTCCCGAGGTACAAAAACATATATTTATGATCATGAACAACTCTCTTCCAGAGTAAAACTCTTTTAAAAATGTGAATCAAGTTAAAAAGAAATTGGAACTGTCATATATATATATATATATATATATATATATATATATATATATATATATATATATATATATATATATATATAAGATGTTATAGACACTGAGAACTTTACTAATGTTCTTACTAAATGGGTACATTTTCTATTCAAGAGCTGAGAACACTGCAGTAGAATAAAGCTCATTTAGGAGGTAAAGAAAACAAACACTGGGGGTCAATTCAATCAGTCCCCCATTTATTTTCTATGGAGTAGCTTCACATAAATCTGCTTCGGTGGTTTCTGGCTTTTAGCAAGAGCAGCTTACTTTCACAAATGTTGACTGTACATTCGTAGGCCATGTAAATAACATATTGTAAATCTTAATTGATTGAGGTGGTGTTACCCATTAAGGGGTTCTTTTTATTTGGTTCACTCTGTTTCTTTTAATCTATCTATATCACTTAAAATACATTTATCTCTAGTTTAACCCAGCTCAAATATAAAAAATGTGATGAATACCGAAAGACCTGAAACGATTAGTCGATGAATTGAATATTCAGTTGAAAAAAAATGAATTGGCAACTTTCTTTGTAATTGGTTTATCGTAGTAGTAGTTTTTATGTTTACCTCCTCTTCATTGTTTTCTCTCTTCTTTAGGGTCAATTGCTCCTTTTATTTCAAAATTGGAGCTTGTCGACATGGCGACCGCTGCTCCAGATTACACAATAAGCCGACATTCAGCCAGGTAAGATCGTAAATTATTTTGTTCTAAAGTGTCCTAAAATACACCGATAAAGAGAAAACAATATTTTTCTCATTTCGCCGCCACAACGCTTTCAGACTTGGGTCTGAAAGCGTCGTGGCGGCCGTGGCTCAGTGGGTGAGCGGGTCGTTCTTTGTTCGATCCCCAGCTCCTACTGTCTGTGCATGCAAAGAGTCCTTGGGGACGCCTCACAGCGGCCCACTGCTCCTAAATGCTTAGGATGGGCTAAATGCAGAGGTCAAAATTTCATGTATGTACCTACATGTATATGGCCATTATAATAAAGGTTTTAGGTTTTAAAGGGTTAATGTTTGGTGTTAGGGCTTTACAAATATAGTTAACTTAACTTTCTAGTTGTATCTGTGATCCACACATCCTAGTCACATGTCATACCCATCTTTGATTCACCATGCCAGTGGGTGTGTTTTAAGTGCTTTTCTATATATTCTTAACCTAGTGTCAACCCGTAGGATTGCAAAAAATATCTCCATTGTGTCTGATATTTTCTTGCTGCATATGAAATCTGACTTTTGTACTTTACAATCAAAGGTATTTTCTTTGAAATATTTCTGTTTTGTTCTATTGTTCTATCTTCAGTACCAAAGAACGCACTGCATGTCGATACCCACTCTTAATCATAACTAATCATCCCAATAATTTGCTTCTTTTCTTTCAGACGATTGCCCTCCTGAACATTTACCGGAACCCTCAGAACAGTGCCCAGTCTGCTGATGGTCTGACCTGTGAGTGTTTCTATACCTTCTATATCTACAGAGAAGTAGAGGTTTGCACAGTATTCTTAAGGTGTAAGAGGGAGACCAATATGTTAGTAAAAGCTCTCACTGTTGAAAGGTCGGCTCACCAATAGGAACTAGTTTTCAAACCCGTTCTGGAAAAGCAAGGACAATTGTTCCAAAATATATATATTTATGGGGGGGAGACGTTGTGTTTATAAATTAGGGAATTAAGGTGCTGCCAGACAGGACTCCTACTTCCTATTTATTTTCTGTGATAGGAGTGATACAGTTTACAGATAGTAATGACCAGCTTGGCCCTGGCTAAATAAAAATTAGCAAATAGTAACCTGAAAGGAGTTAAATCTGAGGTGCCTGTTAAACACATACTTTATCAAAGAAATGATAAACTATATCCACATGTTGTTGTTTTATTTTCCTATTATCATTTTCTCTTATCACTAGGTGCCATCAGTGACATGGAGATGCAGGAGCACTATGACGAGTTTTTTGAGGTACGTTCTGAATGTCTCGTGAAGGGCCGGTCTGACCGCCACTCTGCAGCTCGTACATTTCTTTTAACTTTTATTTGAGGAAATGATGCTTCATGCTAATTAGCTTTCTAGTGGAGAGTTAGATGAGAAGATATATTATAATGATCAGTGAGCTTTAGAGGTGCTGGTAGGTGGATTTTTTTTTTTTACCATTTGACTGAGCCAGATGAGATGTTTACCCCTGTTTCCAGTCTTTGTTCTTAGCTAAGCTAATTAGCTTCTGTCTGTCGCCTCATTTCGACCATACACACATTAGAGGGGTGGCAATCGTCTCATCGAACACCCTAACAGAAAGCAAACTATTCCTTTAATGGACTCTTACTCAACATTGCAACAAATACCTCACGTTACACTTCACTTTTCACTTTCAGGAGGTCTTCACTGAGATGGAGGAGAAGTACGGAGAGGTGGAGGAGATGAACGTATGTGACAACCTCGGGGACCACCTAGTAGGAAATGTGTATGTGAAGGTGGGTGTCTGAGTCTAAAAGCCACATATGGTACCTCTGCTGTAATGCCATGTTGTTTAGCTTGGATCCAGAGCTGGTGGTTTTCATCTCTTCCCTGTCTCTTGATGGTCCGTCATAGTTCCGGTATGAAGAGGACGCTGAGAAGGCTGTGATAGACCTGAATAATCGGTGGTTTAATGGACAGCCCATCCACGCTGAGCTCTCCCCCGTCACAGACTTCAGAGAAGCCTGCTGTCGCCAATATGAAATGGGGTGAGTGCTGCGTGAAACAATGTGCTCAATGAAACACTCATTCTTTAAGATTAATGTCGGACTATTTGATAATACAAGTAGGAAGTTCCACTCTGTATATTTAACAGCCCCAATGCAATATTAATAGTTTATATTCAAAATATTGATACTTGGCGTTTGTGTATTGATAAAATATGGTCTCGCAAAATATCGTGATACTATGCTGCATCTATTTATTTCCCCGCCTCTATTGGCAGCCATCCCCGGCTCCTACGGTCTGATTTTTTTTATTTATTTTTTTTTTTTTTTTAAGCATTATACTTTATATTTATGTTGAACTTCTAATGTTATAATCTATCTTAGCATCCAAGCGGGAGACTGAATTTACATGACATATCTCCAGCTGTGACTTACCATCACCCTTTCATAGAAACCCACATAGCGGTTTTACTAAATATGCCACTCTTGAATATACAGTAATACTGTATAAATATGTGTCTGACTCAGCTAAAACCTGCTGATAGAGGTGTTCTCTCTCACACTAAATATACTAATTGCTGATCCATATTGGCAGATATAGATCCCTTTGTTGTTTGATAATAGCAGCTGGTCTACAAGGCTCCAGACTATTTTTTTTTAAATTTATTATTTTTTTTTTTTTTGCCAACATCCCAAAAATAATTTCAACCGCTCTGAAGTCAGTAAACCATCAAAAATTCTAAAGGTTATCCTTTTACCTTGTTATAGTATTTGTAGTGTTTATTACTGTGTAATTGACAGTGGTCCGTTACACTACTGTCTATAACGCATCAATTCTTGTATTGTTTTAATATAAGTTTGTATTTTTGGGTTGTTTGTTGTCCTCTATTGAGCACTGGACCCCCTGTTATCATGTCAGTGATTTATAGGTTCTGACCTGAGGCTTTCGTTAACAGCATCTACAGTGTGTAGCTCATCTCTGTGGCTGCTGTGTAAAACTTGGTCGCAATCATCAGTCCTCCACCTCAGACGTGACTTCCTGTCTTGCTCTTCTCTGCTGTAACTGATCAGCGTTGCTTTCTCTCCACAGGGAATGCACTCGTGGTGGCTTCTGTAACTTCATGCATCTGAAGCCCATCTCACGTGAACTGAGGAGAGAGCTCTACGGGCGTCGGAGGAAGGGGTACAAACACTTCCATTGTTTTACATTCAGGCACTTACCTGAACTTGCAGACATAGTTGTTTTTATAACAATTAACAATCGCTCTTTCTTCACGTCCACAGCCGCCATAAGTCCCGGTCTCGATCGAGAGAGAGGCGCTCTCGCTCGAGGGACAGGGGTCGGGGAGGTGGAGGTGGAGGAGGCGGAGGAGGAGGTGGTGGGGCAGGTGGAGGCGGAGGTGGTGGAGGTGGCCGTGACCACGAGAGACGTCGCTCCAGAGACAGAGAGCGTTCCGGACGATTCTGAACCACAAGCCATGACTACTTGTCTTTCCCTCCCCGTATCAATCCCTAGTCTATCTTTTTTTAAAAAGTTTGTACCCTTTCAGATCTATTCTAGGACTAATTGAAAGGTACCTGATTTTGACGCTGTGACAGCATTGATGATCTTGTTTTTTTCTTGATTTCTGAAAATGACTTTCACCTCATTAAATTTCACATTTTTACTTACCGTGACTGATTCATGAATCGTACCTGCTTTTACAAAGCCTAAATCATTTTCTTACATGCTGAACTAAATGTGCACACTGACGATTATAAGACCGTACATATAGTTTTTAATCAACTCATTTAATTGCTCAGAGGACAGTTTTTCACTGACACCCTGATAACTTCATCGGTTACAGATAACAGCACTCTGGGATTTGAACCTCAGTCACTTAAAACAGAAGGCAGCACAGATAAATACCAGGTATCTATTGTGAACACATGGCACCAACCAAGAGGAGGTTCAAACATAAAATCATTTTATTAAGAACAAACACAACTGCTGTATTTTCTTGTTCCCTAACACTGAACAAACATGAATTGTCTTTACAGCCACAGATTTTACTTTGAACATTTCCTGAAGGGAATGTGTTTATTCTACTTTTACATTTGAGTTTTATACTGAATTTTAGATCATTCTCATGACTTCAGTGATTAATACAGACAAAACAAATACACCAATAGACAAAAACAGTGCAAACTGTTAACAAATCAAAACTGCTGTAAAATATTATTAACCTCGTGGCACAGAGATATAGTCATTCTTTAATTATCAGTCAATGTACTGCCAATCATTTTCCTCAATGGTAAGGCCCTTATTGTAACACCATATTAGATATGAGCAACAACACCACCTGTTCTCTTCACTTCACCTGGTTCACTGTGTGTGCCTGAGCCAACATGAAACTCAAGACACAGAGCAGACAAGACTGACTGAAGAAAGAAGGTTTGAGTGCTCAGGTTGTTTTACACTGAGATGTGTGTTGGTCCTGTCGGTCTGGGGCCGTATCCAAGCTCCGCCATTTTTTTAACTGAGCTGCTGGTGTCTCGTCTGACAGACGGGTGAGTGTGCGGCTCTTTAATGAACAAAGCGTTTAACATTATTTAGGATGATTGTCTGGCATATTTTTTCCAATCCATCAAAAAATTTGAAATCAAATTAAATGATAGGTACAATTATTTAAACTAGCTATATATAATAACTCAAATTTAGGCAGAAACCATCAAATGTTAAGTTTAACATCATAGAAGATTACAAAAAGCAGCAAATATTCATATTTGAGAGGTCAAAAGCAGCAGATTTTCGACATGTTGCAGTAGGAAAAAATCACAAGTATAAATAGTAAAATTAAAGATGGCTGAATTCCATTTAGCTGCTACAGTTTCAGGGTCCTGCTATTGAACAGTCAATCAGTAATTAGCTCATCATTCCATGGCTCATCAGACAGTGTCTGTTTGCATATACAGGCTACATTCATCCCACCAGATCAGAGACTTAGTGGACACGAGTAAAAGACATATTTTAATGGTCCGGCAGTTTATCAAGAAGAAACAAGGGAATTACCCATAATTCATAGCAATGTGACATTAAACACTGGGTTACCAGTGGAAGCCTGAAATGTAAAAAAAAAGACTAACAAAGAGGACGACACATCGGTGTTCAGCCTGGCATCAAATATACACAGAAACATTAAGGATTAAAGATGGAACATCCCAGCATCATACGCGTTGATGAAATACACATTTGGGCAGTGCAGACTTGCTAATCAAATGAGGTCTGGGAGTAACTTCCGGCCTCTACTGTCACGACCCCTTGATGCCTTCTGTTTCTGGAAGTACATGTTTGGGAGATGTTACCCAATTAAAATGATTAAAATACTCTGATAAGCACAACCTGTAACTCTTACAGTTTGTATACATTGTGTATACAGAGACGCTAAGAGACGCTCTTTACTCCTGACAACAGCATTCTTGTTAAAGTCGAGACGTTTCAGTGTGCAGTTGGCAGACTGGAAGTGATTTTAGATCAGCAGCAGTAAATTAGAGCGCAGAGTGTTACCTGGTAAAAAAAAAAGACTTATTTCAGGTAACGATGCATGCTGACGTATTATATTGATGCATGCAGGCGGAAGAGCCGTCGCTGCTTTCATCAAGGGCTTGTTTGCACGGCTGTGTGCCCGTTGGCTTCCTGCTTAAGAAGAAAAGGTTGCTGTTAAGAAAGGAACATTAAGGTATCATGTAGCTTGAGGCCTTTTATGTTAGCAGCTGTGTGATTTTTGGCCAACTGAGCAAAGCACAGCAAACAATCAGGTTTGGTGCTACATTAAAGGGACAGTGTGTAGCATTTAGGGGGATCTGTTGGAAGAAATGGAATATAGAAATGATTAAGTATGTTTTCTTTAGTGTATAATCACCTGGAAATAAGAATTATAGTGTTTTCGTTGCCGTAGAATGAGCAGTTTATATCTTCATACAGAGGGGGTCCTCTTCACGGAGCCAGTCGCCATGTTTCTACAGTAGCCCAGAACGGACAAACCAAACACTGGCTCTAGATAGGGCTGTTTGCATTTTCGTGTTAGTCATCCTAAATCTCAACAACAAGCTTGGCAGAAGTTGGGAGAAGTTTCAGTTGGTTGCAATCTGCAACATCACCACTAGATGCCGCCAGATCCCACACACGGCACTGCAAAGTATCTATTTGATTTCAGCACAGCACCTCCTCAGCTGCACCGTCTCGAGATGGCAGCCCGGTGAGGTTTTTGGGTTCAGTGAGGATGAAACCTGTCAGAGGCATCAGTTTAAGCCTCCTCAGATGATGGGGATTAATTACTCCCCAGTTCACTCCAGATTGAATTGCAGCCACCCTAAACTAGTTGGCAGGTGTGTTGGTGCACTTGCAGAGTTGTGTTTGTGTATGAGAGACCTTTGGAAGACTCCACACTACCCAAATAAAATGTCCAAAATAAAGAAGTGTGGATCTTTTTTCACAGCAAAAGCACAGGTGTTACTACCAACATTAGCAATGGCTCCGTTCAGTCCCAGTAAATCATGACAGCGTGACAGTGAGCTGCAGAATGAGCAATAAGGGCCCTGAAACTGAAGCCGCTAAATGAAGTTCAGCTGTTCATTTTATTGTTTACACATGTGCTTTTTTTCTACTGTGACATGCCTTCAGAGAAAAAAGGGCTTCCAGTTGTCGTGTAGGTATTCTTAACTGTAGTGTGTAGCGCTGCTATCCTATAATAAGAGCTGTATGTTGTGTGAGGGATGCTGTTGGATCTGTCTTTCTAAAATACCTACCCTAGCTTTAAAGATGATTTAACTCACAGAAGAAATGTTGATGTTGGGAAAAAGGAAGGAAGCGTTTCCAACTTCCAAACAGTGATTCAAAATGAAATAATGCAGAATTTATACATCACAGGATTCTTTCAGACTCTAAATCAAACTAAAACACACTTAAAGACAGTATTTTTTATTTTTTATTTGTGACTGTTTTATTTAGTGGCAAAGTGTGGGTTCTTCATACATACACAACCTCCAGTTGTTAATGAAATAATAATTAGTTCCCAATGTCAAAACCTCTAAGTCAGCTTCCATTATTCATTTCTATCATTCAAGTGAACTCAATTTTATTATTATACAATCACAAATTTTCCTCAATTTGCATATTTTGCATATTATGTTGGAAGCTTGGTAGAGTTTAACATATACTGTATATTGTAGAAATAAACAGCAGTAGAAGATGATGTAACGCAGGACACAAAGCAGACATCATTTCTAACATGTCACATCCTCTTCTGGTATTAATCCCAATACTTTGTGTGTTTCCACAGTGCGACTCTGGGAACCATTCTGTCCGGGAAGGTCGAACCCTGAGATGCTGTCAGCAAGGTGCTCGGCAAGCATTACAAACGGATCAGTAGAAACACATGCAGTGTCTGCATACTGCACACATTACATACATTGAAGGTTAACATATTTACATGCTCGTCTACACTTGTGTTCTCAGATGCACCTGACTCCAACCTGGAGAAGCTGTCCCATATCCACTTCGCCCTGGTGGTGCCTACGGCCTGCTGGGGGCTTATATTCAACAGACACATATGTTAATGGTATCGATGTTTTCATCTAACTCTCCCCCAGAAGGTTAATAAGCAAAGTGTGCAACTCTTGCTTGAAGATAAGAGGAAGTTGTGTTTCACTGTGTCCTCCTTGTTAGCTACAGAAATGTTGTGGCTTTGTAAGTGTTTCCATAATAAATGTACTGTAGTTTATGTTTACTCTGCTCTTCAATGTTTGGTGGGTAATGTCAGTGTACCTTCAGTCTATGCTGTCTCTCTCCGGATAAGGCGGATGGGTCAACTTGTCAGAGGCAGATGGTGTTTGGCGTTGTGACACCTATTGACCTCCTCAACCACATCACCACACGACAGGACGGATCGCTAGTTGTCTGAGAGCCTGCTGTCAGACGCAGCGTCTCCGTGATCACTTCCTGTTGAAGAAGAGGACATCACGGTCTGCTCATCAAGAGGCAGCACGTGAGCACCTGCAGCTCTGTTTTCTGTTTTCTGTTTTCGCGGCTACATCTGTGGAGATTCACTGACTTTGGTTCCAAGAAGACAAAACCTATTATTATTCAAAGCAAAGTATTATTATTTTTTTTAAATAGTATGGAGGAGATTTTTAGATAAATGCAGTGTGATAGAAGAGTAACCTCTCTTAGAAAAAACTCATGTCCTCGTTTGGTTATTATCACATGTAGTGTCTCAAACGACCAGAGGGGAGCAGCACTGACCCACTGCAGCCACACAAGCGTTAAGATATTGACAGTACAGATCTCTACTTGAACACACTACTGAATATTCAATTCTTCATGAGAACATTGAGTTCAGTGGAATTTAAAGGGCCACGCTGTCTTTAGTCAGTAACAGCATTTATTCTTCATACAAGTACAACTCAATGCGCTGGTTTTAATACAAGCAAATAGGGAATAATTGTCTTTATGATACTAATTATAGAGATTCTTATAGGCTTAAAGGTGCAATGTGTAAGATCTGGCCACTTGCTTCAAAGAAACAGGGGGCAGCATTTCTCCTCTACTACTGGGTCCATAATCTAAATTTATACTGATAAAAAGAAGAAAAAAAAAACCCACTAACAGCAGGGCAAGAATACACTAAATT